GCTTTTCTTTTTTCACTATTTTTCAATTTTTAGAAGCCGGAGCCTTATTCCAGCCAGCTAGGATGGCCTCGTTTGAAGACATTTTAGAATCCGAAGGAATGAGAGATGCCATTTTAAATGAGAGTTCTGATGGTAAGATAAGCTCATGAATGATTATAAAAACTTAAAATTGTTGGGTTTGGGTTACAATGTTGCATTATTCATTATTACTGCCATTTTCTCTTCTATGTTTCACTTGAAATATTTTCATGACAGTAAATATTCCATTATAACAACCAAGTCTGCCTGATTAGATTTTTATATGTCAATCAGGTGATACTACAGTAGGTAGGTAAGATATATTAAATAAGCATGTATAGCTGCAGTAAATTATTCATTATATTCATTATATCAATAAAGACCTGTTTCAAATGTCAGACTGAATGAGTTTTTATATAATGCAGGTCTAATCTTCAGTTAGTAGATCATCCACTTGGTACTTACATGCAGGTGTTTACTGTATTCATCTTTGTCTATTTTTTAACGTCTTGACCTTTTCCTTTTCCTTCACAATTTTTATTTCTTCCTCTTGTTTTTCTCCATCCTCTATTCCTTAAATTTATTTATTTATCTTCCTGCATTCTTTGTACTTTAACTGTGTTTGTTTCGTCATTTTCCATTATCTTTCTTTTCCTGACTTTACTCTCTTTCATAATTTCGAATCTTTACTCTCTAATTTCTTTTTTCTTGTTCATTTATTTTTTTACATTTTTAACTTACTACTGAAATTTTAAGATCAATTTACCATTTGCCTTTTCTCATTCTTCTTTTTTCCCAATACCAATATAAGATCCAGAATCCAGTTCATAGATTGCATTTGTCATAGCTTAATATTCTTAGCGCAACCTCTTCACTTCTCTAATCAAGTATTAAACAGTTGGCACCAAATGGAATAAAAATGGACAAATTTCCTTGATGGATCTTATATTGGTAAATTGCTTGTTAGAGCCCAATCACACTTAATAGTTACGTTGATTCAGGGCCACCATTTTTTAAGTGGAAACAATCAACAAAATTTAAGTTGGCCCAAAGCTGACCTTAATTTAGTCCGGCTTTAAAGTCAGCTCAAAAGTCAGATGCATTGCGGAACCTAAGCCAACTCTTCATATCTGAACGTAGACCGAACTTGGGTTGCCAAGCTTGCTATGATGGTGGTCAATTTTGACATCTTATACCATATCATGCAAAAACCAGACGCAAAGTAGGAAGTGTGAGCTTTAGCAGTGCTACCCTGAGCCAACATAAAATACTAACCGCTAAGGGAATGGTCATTTTGAGTCAGCCGTGGTTAAGGCGGCCCTGGGCCTAAGTAATAGTTGTGATTGGGCTCTTAGTTAAAGAAGATCGGTGGCACCACAGAGAAATTGGTGTCCCTGGACATGAAAAAATGGGGATTTTCGAAATTGTTCTTTTGAGTCAGAGCTCCATATCAAGTATTTGCGGTATTGGTAGAGAGATACACCTTTGAGCTGCCAGTAACATTCTTAAAAGAAACTTAAGAAAAAATTTTTTTATACATATATAGTTAAAAGTAATTTTTTTACGTGCTTTTTCTTAATTTTTTTTTTTGCTATGGCCCCTCAGGCCTCGGGTCTTTTTGCTGTACCCATCCCCTGAACGTGACGCCAATGAACAGTATCAAGTTGTTTTATTTATCCAAATACACCACTACTCCACATCATGCTACCACTCACACCCCACCTTTTTGTCTCATTAGTGTCATGGCTCAGCCAACCACTACCTCCAGCACTACCTCCCCCCTCACTGTCCCATATCCCCGACTGGCAATGGGACTTCCACACTGGACAACTGCTCTGTGGTAAGACAAACCGCATCCAATCCCGCTCCTTGTGTCATGGATAGCTTGTGAATCACCCTGGTTTCATAATTTACAACACCTTTTTTTTTGTTATCAAATTATTTTCATTTTGTTATAAAAGATATATTGCTTGTGATAAAAATCACCAAAAATAAAGAAAACACTGAATCATTTGTTTGAAAAAGTAAAATAAGTTGTCATCTTAAAATGAGACACAATTAATTTTTCTTTCATTAAATCTCTGTCCAGATTATGAAATTTTCTCTGACAAATTTTTATATGCCCTTATATAGTCATGATGTGCCTATATATGGTCGTGATGTGTATCATCATGACCATATTTAGGCGCGTCGCATGCTTTTGTCAAAAAAAATTTGATAGTCTGGCCAAGGCTGCTGTGTGGACCATTTACTACAGTACAAAAAATTGTTAATTGATTACTAGTCAATTTACTGCCCATGTAGTAATGATACAGTAAAAATTGGCAGGGAAAAAAATTTGCTCATTCTAATAATTAATTTGACATGTACAAAGCATTTATATAGCGCTGCTACGTTAAGGTTGTAGCGCTGAAAAGAAACTCGTACAGAGTAAGAAATTCAGGTATTCCAGTGTTCGTTTTTTTGGGGTTTTTTTTTTTTTTAATTTATTGGACACAATACAAGCAGTGTATTTTTAACAGAATGTTTGATGTTGCCTGTATTTGGTATTATGCTAGTTGTATTGTAACATAATATGCATTTTGTTCTTGTCCTCATTCACTGCATGTTTCAATACTCCATATATTATTACATATATATCACAACATGGTCAAATAACATGTTTGTGATGACCAAAAGACATCCTATCCACTTATGCTTTAATATAAATAAAATAAGTAGACAAAAAAGGAATAACATTCTTCAGAAGGTGACTACTGTGAAGCATAGATTTTATTTAAAAACTACATTTTCGAGTTAAATCAAAGTGACTGAAAAACAACAAATAAAGTCTAATGAAAACAGCATAACAACCATCGAAACTTTGTTGGGAATTCAAATCTGATTAAAAGAAACTGTTATTTCACACTCTTTTACACAATCTGTACTTGAACAGTCTGCGCTTTTGAGAATGATTGTTCCTAGTTTGTTCACTAACAATTGAAAATTTAGTACATTAAATGAGTACTTACGATCAAGGAATATTTGATTTTGCTTGATGAATTTGAGTATATTATTGGCAGACTTTTGTTTGAAATTGGAAAAGAAAAATGTAATGATGAATTTCAGCATTATCTCGACTTATCAGTTCTATTTTTTTTATAAGTTTGTCATTTGAATATCTCATAGCCACAGGCCTAGCATTTCATTTGTGTTTACTAACACTGAGAAGCAAGGTTGACCAAACAAAGCATGTGCATTCGGCTGGGCCGCATCAAAACAATTGTTGCTGCTGCCTTTGGCACACAAGCCGTAAAAGATACCGGCTCTCTTTATAAAATTAGTCGTGTTTGCTACGTGATAGGAAAGTTACATGGAAATGGAAATGATAACGTAATGGAATTCAGCTAGTATAGTAATACATGTTGTAGTATACAGCTAGGATAGTGATATGTAATTATTTAGGTTGGCATGATGAGATATTTGTAAGAAGCATGTTATGATTGATGTGATCGTGTGTGAAATCTGTCTTGTTTATTTAAATTATACATCAATTTTATTCACCCACTTGTTTTGAGCTAAAAAATATTCAAAATGTAGTACAGTTAATCTTACTTAAGTTGCTGGGTATAGTCATCAATATTATTTCACTAACACCATCATAAATGTCATCGTTTTATCTTGGTTCATGCATATGTAAAGGAATTAGTCCTTAATAAATTACTGTATAATTGTGCTGAATTTCCTAAGGACGTGATCAAAATGTATCATAGCTGCTGAATAGGGACTCAGTATGGTTAAAGCCTTAAAACATGATCGTGTTCTAGCATTGGTAATTAAAGAGCTGTTGTCCTTATCTGCCAAAGAGATTAAGTATTCACCACTGTCTATTACAAATATTAAGCAAACATTAAGAATTAGATCATTAAATTTAGTGGAATGGTACATAGTAATCTAAGAAAAAGATTATTAAATTTTTAGAAGTGAAAGGTGAAGGTTACAGAAATTCTATTTTATTTTAACATATGAAATCACCTATACACGGCTCTCACAGGAGAGAGGTATGCAATCTATATGACTGCTCTAGTTTTATTGTAGTTATTGTCCTTCAAATTGTTATTGTTTTTCCTGGATAACAATGCCTTACACAATAAAAAAAAATTTTTCCTTCGCAATAGAAGAAAAACTACTCTTAAAGTTTTAAAAACTTGGCCGACTGAATAGACAAACTATTCCAGATTAAATTGGCATTGCGTTTCAAACTCCTCATACACCAAATGATTTGTCACAGCCATTTTGTATTTAGTTTGAGTAAAATAAACTTAAACAAGGTTGACTGTATTACATTTTATTTATATTTTATTATTGTTATTTTCTGTTGTTTACATTGCACCTGAGATTCTTATTATATCTATTATTATTACTGTTATTATTACTATTAATATTATTACTACTATTTATATTATTATTATTAGCAGTGCACTTGTTATTATTGCTGTTATTATTGTTGTTATTAATACTTTTATTATGTACTTTCTTCATTTTTTTTTTTTTTTAATATTTATTTATTTATCATCTAGGCACATGTGCCAAGGATTTCAGCGAACTTAATCAGTGTCCTTCTAATAGGTGGCAGTAAATTTCACAGCACAAACATACAGACAAGATGCTCTACATAAACTTTCTCATTATGAGGCTTAGGGAGTGGAGTTGTTTTTGGTTGTCAGAAAAAAAAATCCTGTAACATTGATAGGAATTGAACCCAGGACCCTGAATTGGCAAGGCAAGAACCTTAGCCACCAAGCTACAATCCACTGAAATGTATAAAACTGCAAGAGGTCCGACTCGATCTTGGGGTTTTGTAAGAAAGCATAAAAGTACTTCCACGAACTAGAAGGCATCCTTCCAAAGAAAGTCTTGTACTCTCACGAATTATCATTTTGTTCTTATATTTCTTTGTCACTCATATGGCCAGATATGACTGGCCAGAATTGGGTGTGACATTAAGAAATAATAAAGTAAAGTATAAGACATTTGTATTGAACACATCCTGTGTCTTTAGAACACATGGTTGAGTTTCTAATTTGAATTCTAATAGGGTGCCCCCTAGCTCGTGTTAGTACTTTTTTAAACATTTCATTGCCTGCGTACAAAATCAGGGCAGTCGGACATCTTTGCAATACTCTTTGATTCCACCTCATATATTTTATTCACATAGTAAACCTTATCTGATGACTACTATGAACACAGTGTAAATGGTAGCTTTTGGTTTTGTTCGTTAACATTTTGAGTAGTGCATGTGCTAATACTGATAGTTTGTTTGATATGTTGCTTACATGAAATATTATTTTCTTCTATAGCATCTTCACCCGTAAAAGGTAATGAAATTTTCTCAGATGAGGAATCTTCGACCGCGAATGAATCAACCAGGAGTTGCGGCACTGAACTTGAAAAAAATCTAGAATCGCAACTTGAAAATTTTCAAACTGTAAGTTGCAATTGACTGATGAACATTGATATTCATCATGTTAAAAAACATTGTTAATTTCCTGTTCAAGATTTTTGCTATTCCGCATATAAGAATCGCTTGGAGCACCGCAATATTGTTATTAATAAAAATATCAAATCAAAAGACAGTAGTAGAATGTTTATACCAAGGCATAAATTAGATTGGCTTATTATTTTAATAACTGCTTCGTGACAAAGGCTCTATTCAGTGTTTGCTCATTCCATTTATCATTCAGGATTTACAGGAGTCCAATCAATCAAATGGTGTATGAGGCACATTATGCAGTTATCTCAATCCGCATCAACTGACTTTTTTTTATATAGTGTTTGAAATAATTTCCAGTGGAGAACGGATTTGAAATCTTCCTAATATGTCATTTTCAGTGAGTCGCATGCCCTTCTGGCAACTGCTTTTGCGACTTGCCAAATAAATGAACAAATAAAATAAATAAATAATTTATTCCTAACATCTTGGAAGTAAATATAATATCCTAATAAATGGAGGAATGCAGATGTGAAATACTGTATCATTTGCTATCCTTTCCATAAGCAGTATTAAACAAGTTTCTGAAATACTGCCTAGGATGGTGAAAATACCAAATCCAAATCTCATCACTGTGTCATTTTTAGTAATGTAACACTTCTTTCGATTGTGAGCCCACTCATCAAAAAAGTCTTACCAATGATCATAATTAATCTTATATATATTTATATATTAAATAAAAAATTTAACTCTGAAACTCTTCCTTTAAATAATCAACTGCACACCACCACAACAATCAAATAATGGAACAGGTAGTGCATTTGCTAATAAACAGTAAATGAAACAGAATAGCGCTGACTATTTGAGATTTTTAAAACAAATCGTTAGTGGTCTTATGCCATCGCGTTCAAGGACAAAACATTTGCTATCAGAGGCTTCATACTGTAGTACCGCTACATGACAAAAGCCCTATTTAGGGTTTGCTCATTTCATTTATCATACGGGATTTACAGGAGTCCAATCAATCAGACGATGTGTAAGTCACATTATACAGTTACTCAATCCGCATCAACTGACTTTTTTTATAGTGAGAGATAGGATTTAAAATCTTCCCAATATATTATTTTCAGTGAGTCGCATGCCCTTCTGGCGAAAGTGAATGTCCAGCGTTTGCGACTTGCCAAATGAATAAATAAAAAAAATAAATAAATAATTTGGAAGTAAATTTAAAATCCTACAAAAAAATCATAAATATAAATGGAGGAATGCAAAAAATTGAAATTATGAAATGTTTTTAGGAAAATTAAGTTATGGGGAAATTCATAAAATTTATGTTTTTAGAATATCTCATGTATTAAACATGGGATGGATTGTCATATGAAACCGTGTTGCTCATTGGACAGATTTTCAGAAATCTGTTCATATATATTGCAATCGGCCATTTTACGATGAAACAAGACATTATTATGGGATTTTGACCTTAAGTCAAACATCCCTAGCACATGTTACTGAACTAGCTACGTATGTATAGGGTTGTCAATATTTTGTTAACTTGGACAGAAAACATCTAGTTTCCACATATATTTTAAATATTATACAATACCAGCATATTTATTTTAATAGAATATTATTAATATCAAAATTTAAAAAACATCAGTTTAGTGTTAAATTTTGAAATAAATGATAAACTATCCTTCATAATTTAACTCTCGTCTGTGTTGTATAATAGCTATCTCTCATGCCATTGTTAGACCCATCTTTGTTTTGGGGTACTTATCAGATTTGGACGCTCCAGATAACGGTTTTGTTGTATTCTTGTACCTTAAAACATATATTTAGACACTTCATTTGTGCTTCCAACTTGTCTGGCTGAAAAGTTATAATAAGATATAAAAATGGCAGCCATTTTGGATGCCATCTTGCATTTTGCAGAAAGCTCCAGTTGGATATTCTACTCATAATTTTAGACCTATCCTGAAAAATTTAGCTTGTTCTGAGAAATTTCCAGGTCTACCTATATTTACAAACTAATGCTCTTGGACTGTCAGCTTAAAAAGTTTGAATACCCAGAATATATATCATCATTCTAATCTTTTAAGGCACTTGTTAATATATTAATTGATGATAGAATATAGTCAGTTAGTTCCTAAACTCTTGTCATCCTCTAAGGATAATAAGCACATTATTAGATAATGAGTGCTCTAACTCGTTAATGTGGATATTTAATTGTTGAAAATGGAATACTTAATCATTATGTCAAACTGGTTTTACTCTACATAGCATTATTTAATTAAAGTAAAAGGTAGTGGTAGGAATTAAATTGCCTGTGACTTGCAGCTTACTGTAATTGGGCTGAATTGCACAATGATGGTGATGAACGGAAACAAATACTGTAAAGCCCTTTATTTTAAAGCTCTTTATTTTCACGCACCCTTAAATTTCATTATTTTCTTGATATTAAAAACAAGGATCTTTAAAAATTAACGGCTCCTGGAGTAGTTGCAGTACGTCTGCCTATGGTAACTAGCCAAAAATCCGGAGGTAGGAAGTAGATTGCTCGAAAATCAGAAGAAACCCACTATAAATTGGGAACAATAATATAGGCTAATTGACATAATGGTAGGTTTCTGCATTATGTTAAAAAAAAAAAAGAAACGAGTGGAATTGTAAAATCAATGGTAAAATTAAAAGGCCGCGAAGTATTTGAAATAGTAAAATCCCGAAAAACTAAAGGGCCGCAAAAATAAAAAAAGTATATAACAGGTAGCACCTTGTTTTGAGTTACCAAAATTATTTAAAACACAAGCTTTGGTGTTGATGAAATTAATCTTCTAATTTAGTATAACTTCACTTCTGATCATGCAGTATTCACATCCACAACAACAAGGGCTGGATATAATTTAATACCTCCCTATTTATCTGGAAAGATGTTTTGCTATTTTTTAACAGTACCCACGAGCCAGTTGTGTACAAATGAATTTTTCATAACTAGGTCTTACTTTGAATTTTTTTTTTAGTTTCCACCTAGTTTTCTGTAATTCTAACAAATATGAAAGTGTTTGCTATGGGATTTATGGGGCTAACATTGAGGTTGTGTATCTTGATGTTATTCGGCCTTTTCTACCCTTAATTTTTATGAATAGTATTCAAGCAGGTTTTTTTTAGTAGTTATAGCGAGAGTAATAATAAAAAAAATCCAACATCGTCCCTGATGCAGTCTAATGCTAGGTTTGCACTGTGGTCCCGGTGGCCACAGCAGCCCCATTTGTCCGAAACATAGTGCACCATGGGATTTTGACCATTTTTCTCCATACTCAAGTTTTGCTTAGTTTTTTCCCTGCACAGCTTGGTCTTCGTTAATTGCTTCTTGTTTATTTGTGGCATTTTTCCTTTTTATGCTTCCCGTCCCACTACGGACTGCCTCTAAGTTTTGTTACCGCCTATTACGTACTGTTACATTTTGTTGCGTTCCCCCCATTTTACTACGGCCTACTACAGTAGGTTTCTCATCCACACTGTGGTTGCCGTGACAAATTCTTTGACAGCTTAAAAATCTTTGTCGGCATCCACAGCAATGAAAGCCTGTCACGTTTGCTCATCCCGTCCCCCTGTGTTGTCTATCTCGTTTTGTTCACGGTGGTCTTAAACGTGGTTGCCACCAGGATAGTGTAAACCTAGCATTACGACAATTTGTCTTACCTTTGATAAACTCGCACAAATCGAATGCCACAATAAATCATGTCCTGCTGCGTTGTACAGTGTTGTCCAAGTTTGCTTTTTTATATCTTTCTCAATAATAATTATGGTGTCGTTACAGGAGGAAGAATTAAGTGCTGTTGTACCAGTCACTGCAACATTGGACATAAGTAAAGAAAAGTCCAAAATACAGTTGGTTAACAACAGTAGTTTGGCGGGTCGCAAGAAGCCAACAAAAGCACGAATATCGGACCATGGTGCCACTGATTTATGGGAGAGCAGTGAAATTGCAGTAAGTTTTTTACAATGTATTCCATTTTTTTAAAATACTAATGGATGCAGTTGTATATAGGAATACTTCTCCTAGAAGACATTGTAGATTGTTAATAATTAATTCTGTATCCGATTACGAGTATAGGACAAAAGCCACTAGAAAATGAGCTATACCACTAAGACAGTTTTTAAGTCAGTCGTGACGTCATCACCTCAACTCCCAATGTTATTTGCTACAGTCCACTAATTTTTCAATTAGTGGATGCTTGGCTTGATTTTTTTCAGGTTCGTGTGCAAAAAAAAATACTAAATTTTTTGTCACCGTGAAGATATTGTGCACCATGATGAAAATGGAATTATATTTGAAAATTACTTTCATAAAACAAGATTAATTAGAACCTGAAGAAAGTTACTTCAAATTCAATATTAAGTATAAACAATTACAGAATTTCTTGAATCAGTGAACCCTAATAAACTAAACAGACTGAACGTTTAATAGTAATATTCTAGACCTATTTTAAAGACTCAAGGAACAAAATTAGATGTAGGCCTACGGTCAGGCAGGAGGCCCCTGAGGCCTCCTCCATAGCTTAGTGTAGTTATTAAATCATCACACGATTTTTACCTGTTTGCACCGACCAAAAAGTCGGCAACCGATGACTGCTACAACTGGTGGTTATCAAAACTAACATTAAAAAGACGGCGATTGACTTATAAAGCAATTAGTAGAGCATGCAGTGTAGGCTAGCGAAAACGTACACTTATGTTAAATTTAATGCATTCAAAAACTTCCTCTGCGCTTTGCAGGAAGTTTTTTCAAGCATTAAATCTAACCTTCGTACAATATTTTTCCTATAGTGTACTATGCGGAGCTCTACTAATTGCTTATTAGTGTATATTATTTATATATAAAATCACTTTATTTCAAAAGAAAGAAAAACATACAAAACTTAGGTTGTGACCTTATATTGGGGACCTGCAAGGTAAATGAACAGAAAAACAATTAAAGAAAATATTCTTTATATAATTATATTGCACGGGACCAACTCAATTTGAAATTACAGGGAATTTATCCAGAAAAGTTGCTCTTTTGCATCACAGATGCCAAAGAAAAAAACTAGTGCCATTTTTGAGATATTCTCCCATAAACTTTTTTATGACTCTTAGAAACCCCCCTAAAGTTAAATGGTACAGAAGCCCAACCAATCCCATTCTTGGCTGATACAATAAATCAAAATTAAACTTATAGTATTGTCTTTCCTCTGTCTGGGTGTCTCTTCTCCCCTTTTCTTAATTGTCCTCTTTTTTTTTACTTTTTATTACTTTACTAATTATGCTCCTTCAGCTGTTTTAATTTTGATGTAGGCATAGGTTGCATATAGGGTACATATGTACGATTTCATTACAATAATATATACCTAGTATGTATGTACGGTATATGACCATCTTTTGACAAGAAGTGGTAATCATCATTTAGCTTATGTTATGTTTAGATTACCATTCAAAGGTTTGCATGGCGAAGTATTATTAATGAAAAGTTCTTGCGGTACACCACATAGACTTTTTATCTTTTGTTCTTGTTTTAGAGTATCTTGATGTTTCGATTTAGTTGCTTTAATTGTAATCAGAAGAATAACGTACAATTGCCAATCATCTCATTCGTAATTATACTTCCTTAGAATGTACTTCGGGCTATAACAAACGAAAAAGTAGGGCTCAGAGGAAATTAAGAGTTAGTAAGCTCAAAGTTTATTGACATATATCATCATTTTAACTGATATTTAAAATGATATATGTCAATATATCATAATTAAAATGATGATATATTGACATATATCATCATTTTAATTATCAATTTTCCAGAATATCAATTTTAATTTCAGAATTTCAACATAGTTTTCGATTACTGTCATTAAAGTTTGGTGGGGTGGGCTCTTCTGGCAACATTCTTCCTGAGTACTGGTACTTATTAATGAAACCCAGATTCAAGGGTACCTTCGTATTCTGAATTGTGATCATAACGTCAATTATGATTGATACTGGACTTCATGACGTAAATAGTAAATAGTAAACTTTAAAATCTCTATTACTAGTTCAGTTGAATTTGTGATTCCGTCAATACATATTTTTTTTTTTTTTTGGCCAATGACCAAAACAAATGTCCAGGCACTTTGCCGCAATCCACCTCCTGTAACGTTAAACAAACAAAAACAGATACTCAAAATGTTTTTTTTATGATAAACAGCATAATCTTTTTTTTTTCTTTTTTTTTTTTATTATTCAATTTAGTAAAATTTAAATCAATTTAGCATTTAGTAAAACTTATACTTGTTATAGCAAATCTTAACACAATCATGATTGATCAATTTTGTATGCCCGTAAATGTCGGTGACTCTCACAAGCAATTTTATGGAAATACTTAATCCGTAAACCTAATTCAACTCTGCCGATCCATTGCTGACAAATTCCTGATTTCTTCAAAAACAGCTAGATAGTGTAGCAATTGTTGTAGTGACAATATAACGATTTTTATAGAAATCAGGCCTAAATATTGCTACTCAGTTTTAAAATACTAGACACACTATACTAATGTCCATACATTTCTGCAAGATTCAGAGATTCTGAACAAGTACATACATAGATTTAAGATGTTGTGCTAGAACAGATTGACACAAATTTAAACAGTTTTTAATTACCATATTTTTTTTATCATTCACCTGATAAATACCACTGTGTGGTTGAAAGCTCGAGTATTAGTAAGATTTATTAGTCTGTAAAGTACTGTTTGACTTTTGGAATAACTTGCGTACTCGTGTCTGAGAGCTTGCAGTAGATAATTCAAATTTTTAGTGAGCGTTTCATCAATGAATGATCCCCACTTCAACACCCCTATATCTAATATTGTAATGTTTAAGCATAAAAAATTACTTGTAGTATCTGATGGTAGTTTTTAAGAGCATTTTTCTAGCTATTGATATTTGTTTTCTTCTCCATTCCTTTTTTTTTTTTTTTTTTTTGAGCTTTTAACAATAATGAAGTTTAATTATGTTATCTTCAGGCTGGTTGTTGTATGCGGCCTGAAAGTAGTAGATTTAATGAAATGAAATTACCAACAAAGTTATTCATAAATTCCAAAAAATATATTTATTGTCGTATTTAATAATAGAAATTTAATCAAGGTCTGTCTTGCATTTATGAATGATTTATGAAATTATTCATGTACTTAGATGTCTAATCTACCTGACGAACTCGATGATTTTACTTCAAATAATGGTTGTCTTACATTAATGAATGATTTATTAAATTATTCATGTAATTTGATGTCTAATCTACCTGACGAACACAACGATTTTACTTCAAATAATGGTTGTCCACTAGACCTAAAGTATCTTTCCACGAAGGCCCTTTATATACTAGAGAGCTTTTGATTGCACGACGACAGTAGGACATAGAACATAACATCACATAAAGTCATCTGCACATGCGAGGACGTTGAGTTCTCGCGTTTGTGTGGAATCTAGGATGCACTTTGGCCAAATCTACGTATGCAGAGAACGGTCGTACATGAGTGAATCCTATCTAGCATCACGTCGTCACACAAATCAAAAGCTTCCTATTGTTCCTTCAAAATGACAGCGTAAATGCATGAAAAAAATGCGTTCGTGGGAGAAAATTTGTGCATTGTCATTCCTGCCCCTGTCCTGATTGGTTAGTTGTTTGATGTGATTGACTCCGGAAAAGAAGAGAGCATAGAGGAATAGGCTTTGTTATTCTTTTTTTTATGTTGCCTGAAAATAATGAATTTAATTAAATTTCATACTGATTTCTGAATCTAACTAGAAAGCATATCAATAATTCAACTTAATCAAACTCCATCATATATTATATAAAATATAATTAAATTATTCATGTATGGGATGTAATCTAGCCGGAAATTAGAAACTCATTAATAGCATTTTTGTGGTTCTAGAGAGAGAGAGAGCGTAATGGAACAAGCTTAATTGTTGTTACTTTTTGTTGCCGGAAAATTGTTTAAGATTTATATGAAATGACCAAAATAAAGTAACTTGCAAACTGATTTCAGATACAAATTAAAATGTATATTATAATGCAACTTGTCAAACTCTGTCCTACATAATGAAAGATGGATTAAATTATTGATTTATTGAGAAACTAAATGATTTTACTACCGTGTATACTCGCGTATAAAGACAAGGCTTAAAATAGCAAATTACGATCTAAAAGCAGGGGACGTAACACGCGATTTTACTACTGCAATGAAGCTACTAAATGTTAGTGTGAATGAACACAATTTTAAATATGGGGATAATAAGATTTTGATGAACATTTAAAATCTCATAAAATTGTATTATTTGGAAGATTAGAGCTGCATTTGGCAGGGAGTAAAAAACAAAACCCATGTGAGGCTGTGTCGGGCTTAGCATAACCATATGTCCGTCTGCTTGAGAAGCGAAAATTATTGCATCCTGGTCTGCAGAATGTCAAGTCTTGCTATGTTGCGATGGAGTCGAGACTACCGATACTTAATTTCTTCTAGCGTAACGGTCTGATCGCTATATGCGATGCTGGTACTGTACAGTCATTTTATGTACGTCCGAATCTGAGATTTTGGTGTAATAAGAATGATGTTGTATTTGTTCCTTTATTTCATATTGATACCAGTTGTTATAGTGAAGTGTCAACACCCATACAGATCCACCGACGCTACAGCAGTAACACTTAAATCCAAAAATGTAGCCACATCTGGCAACAATCCTACATAACATGTTTGTGGATGGCAGTTAGGCGCAGCAGCAAGGTGCAGCAAGCAAAACGACAGCAGCAGCATCACATTCTCGCCATATACACTTGTCGAGTCAGAAATGAATGACACGCAAGAGTTGATTCTGACGGCGGTTGTCTTATACAGCTGACGTACAAAAATCATCCGAAAATCTTCTCAAACTTGGGGGTTGTCTTATACGCGTGTTTGCCTTATACACAATTATAATCTGTATTTAACATTTTCCGCTCTGTGGTACCAATATTTGGCAAGTATTTGCTTTTAATCATGAGATGGCTTATAAAAAAAATTTATCAGGAGTATAGAATAAAAAGTAGAGACAATTGAGAGAGCAGCTTAGCTCAGTCGGCTTATCTGGTAGTAGCCACTGTGTGTGTGTGCTGAACCGTGGAGATCTCTAGGTCGCCCGGTTCAATTCCCATCGCTGCCTCTCCTTGTGTTTCAGCTGGAGGGCTGAAATGCAAGCTACGATAGCGCACCGTCTTTCGGATGAGACGTTAAAGCAGTTGGTCCTGTGTGCATTATGGCCCATGTGCACGTTAAAGAACGCAGTACACTATTCAGAGTAAGGGATTGTCTCCTGTTGTACTGCTCAATCACCACCAGGAGGACCCTACTGGAAAGAAGTCTTCTTCAGACTTTCGTGGGTTATTCTTGGTGTTTACACCGAAAAATCCAATCCATTGATTTGGATTGGATTTCTTTGCTGTTGAAGCTTGCTCATTTTTATATCGTATTGTAATCTTTTGTAGGCTGAGGAAACATCTATACCGATTAAAGACAAGGTGAGGGAACCAAATGTTGGCGATGCAAGGTCCAGACTAACTCAAGAATTAGAATCTAAGCTGAGACATCCTGAAGCGCCCCGAAGAACTAAACGCGAGAAGTAAGCATTTATTTTTTTAGAATTTTCACTTATAGAGTTTAATTGAAGATTGAAGAAACTTTTCCAATCCAATCAAAACTTCATTTCCTTAAAGCTAGCATGTTTGAAATCCAAAATGGCATTATGTGATCTGTTTTAATGATGGGTTTGGTCATTCAATATGAAATCCCATGCTCTCTTCAAAACTGATATCTGTAGCATATATTATTATTGGCTCTATGCTTTCTGAATTATTTCATTATATTAAGAATATTTTTAATAACAATTTATGCAATATAGCCTAGAGCTAGCTCATCAATGAATATTGTTTATGGTAATAATATGCTTTTTTTTAATTAGAGGATGTAGGGCAAAGGGAAGTCTCTTTAGTCAGACCCTACAAAGGAACAATGAGGAAACGTGTTAGAGGAAAGTTAGAAGAAAGTTAGAATTTGATTGTTTTTACGGTGGGTTACTATTAGAGTGGGTTACTATTAGAGTAGTGGGTTACTATTACTAAGCTTAATGTAGGCACTTGAAAATAGTTAACTCAAACCCACCCCAAGTTTTTTCGGGTCAGTATCTCTTTTTTTTTTTTAACCTATCTGTCCACTCCCTGCCCCCCACCCCCATCCACATGCGTATTTTTATTTTTAAAATATGGGGGCCATCCTGGTCAGTCTTGGACTTGTGGTTCCTGGTCGTTTTGTAGCTACATGTTTCCGAAGGAAAGTCAGAAAACTATTGGTCTATGAACTATCAAAAGTTATACTGAATTATCCTTATTTTGAATTAAAATTTGTATAAATGCTCTGCAAAGAAATATTACCAGCTAGGAGTAAATTCAAGAAAGGATCATCAACAGCGCAATTATATTGTGAAGAATACCTAATTTTAAGGAATAAATTTTGTTAAGGTGGCAAAATTTGATTAGAATGTCATTTTGCCTATACTGTAGTTTTATAGACTTCAGGTGATTCTAATAATAGTTCCATGGGTTATTATTAGAACAGAGGGCTATTAGATAGGGGTTACTAATAGAGTAATAGGTTTTATAAATATACATAATTATAATAATATGAATTTTTGCATACATGTAGTGTTGGTCATGTAATTGTGACATATTGCCTGAAAACTTTATTGGCTTAATATTATACAAATATGGACTGCTCGTGAAGGGAATGGGGGAATCTATTTCCTCAAATGCATGAGAATCAAGCCCAGTGTTAGTAGACTTAGGTCTGAATAAGGGTGTAATGTGTGCTCATATTGGTTTCTTAGCATAGTCATTACCTTAGAAAATTAAGTTTTCATGGGAATTTCTTTATTTTCCACCAGCTGCAGCCGTATCTCATGACATTTCATTTTTTTTCTCAGAATTGAGTATAATATAGCATTTACCAGTCCAAATAAATTAATGAACTGAACTGTATACATCATCACATACCACGCTTTATGTAATAAAGCAATTAAACAATCCTCGAAGGTGCACTGTGCATTTTCTGCCTCAATCATCCATTTTCATGTACTATATCTTGTAGCACTAGACTGACAAAAGTTTGAAGTTAGTTTCTTGAGGTTTGCAGTAATGACTTGTTAACAATAGTGGCACTGGTACGCACATACCTAGGTACTGCAGTGCTATTTTTATGTTTGCATCTAGGAAAATTCTGTCATTTTATGAGTACAGTATATCTGGAGATGTGTACACAGTTTTATGCTTAGGGTAGAAAATATGTAAAATGAACTTACGAGGGGATAGCACACATTAAGAGAGTTTAACCTGTTACTAAGTGGCAGAGATTTCTATATATTTTTCTTTTTTCTCTTCAAGATTGTTATTCATTATGGATAGCTTTTTTCTTTACAAATTAAAAAATATCAGTAAATATATCTTTATTTCTTGCCAGATGCCGAACAAATTGTAATTATTGCCTGATGTAAGATGTTGCCATTCTAGGCCTCTTTGGGTTATTTTTATTCCATCTGATGAGTATCTTAAAAAAAGCAAAAAAAAAACTTTCCACCCGCCCCTTTTTATCATTAAAAAAAAAAGAAGGGCAAACAAACAATTAATTTTTTTTAAGCCATATTATAAGTTTTCTTGGTGTAGATGCTTTTGGTAACTTTGTTTTAAAAAAAAATTACTAGGTTATTTTGTTTTACGTTCTTTCGAAAATAAATTTGGTATACAACATATATAAATAGCCACACTTGAGGATAACAAGAAACTAAAGATGACACATTTATGCTTTTAGGCACTCTTGGCCTAGCAAATGCAACTTTGTCATATTGCCTTATAACAAGTGTTTTTCTATCACTTTCCAATTTATACAAATAAATCCACACTAATGTTGTGCATTTGTACTTTACTTGGTCTATTGGCAGCTTTGACCCATGGATGCGAAGGTAGGCTTTGAAAGTCGCCATGATTTTCAAAGAATTCAAACCATTAAACATTTTGCACAAAATTTCAGAATGCCGTATTCATATTAGAAAACTGCACTGCTGCACATTATCAATGTTTACACTTATGAAATATGTACAGTGTATTTCTACTTGGTTAGAGCTTCATCTTTTTGTATTGTTGCTGACTTTTTTTTAGTATAAATAGACAATGGTGGTAATGGACCTTTTTAAAGTGTCAATCAAAAACTTAAAAGATGTTGTGAAATGAAGTTATGTCAGTTAAATAGCTGTCGATACCGAGGCTTCGATGCCTAAGGCATGTGGCCTTGAAGGGCTCTGGTATATTTATCAGCATTTTCCCCCATACAGCCCAGTGGTGTTGAAGGGTGTTAAAGAAACACTCCAATGTAAAATAGAAACATCAGAAACTTCCTTAAAAATCAAATACGCCGAAAGGGGGTAAGGCCTTCCCCAGGGTAATACACCACTAGTACTGGTACTCAACTGTATTTAATGCTCGGGTAGCGTTGCTTAGAAATGTAGTAACTTGTATTTCAGCCCTTTAGCTGAACCAAGGACCCAAGGCTCTTCATGGTCCAGTTACACACATTCCCATTGTAATCACAGATTTGGTATTTATAATATTTTTTCAAAATGTCAAACTTTTTCGCATTATTAAATAATAAAGAGTGATTACAGAAAACATTATTTTCTTAGATCTAAGTGCAGTAAGCTAATTGATGTCATCAGAGAAGCGAAGTTGGCATCTTTATTAAGCGGAAACATCATTATTTTGCAATTCTATTAAGTTGTTTACTGCATTGCAGGATGAAAACATTTAAAAACATACTACATAATCTTGTAATTTATTCTTGTTTGACAATACAAAGCTTGTCTCAGATGCCCGAATACGCCGAAAGGGGGTAAGGCCTTCCCCCAGGGTATTTCCAAAGAATCTTTAGCCAGGGCCTCAGACTTCTTTGCTTACACCGCTAGTACTGGTATTCAACTGTATTTAATGCTTGGGTAGCGTTGCTTAGAAATGTAGTGACTTGTATTTCAGCCCTTTAGCTGAACCAAGGACCCAAGGCTCTTCATGGTCCAGTTACACACATTCTCTCTGATTGTAATCACAAATTTGTAATATTGTAAATAATGAAGATTGATTACAGAAAACATTATTTTCTTAGATCTAAGTGCAGTAAGCTGATTGATGTCATCAGAGAAGCGAAGTTGGCGTCTTTATTAAGCGGAAACATCATTATTTTGCAATTCTATTAAGCTGTTTACTTTATTGCGGAATGTAAACATTTAAAAACATACTACATAATTTTGTAATTTATTCTTATTTGACAATACAAAGCTTGCCGCAGATGCTCGGAGCGCTGTTCCAGTTTAAACGTGAAGACCAGCGGCGCCACTATATTTTGTAGACGCTGCTAAGTGTATAGTCTCAATTTTGTGAAATCTGGGCGAGACAGGATTACAATAATTTTGGCAAACATATTGCATAATTAATTTAGGTATATGCAAGTTTTGTAGATGGTAATTCACAGACTAACATAATCTATTAACATGAAATGACATATTCAGCATTCTGATAAAATTGACTTCAACCTTTCGGTTAAAGTCTTGTGGGGAGCGATCGTTTATGGTTGCTGGGCCCAAGTTGTGGAACTTGTTACCTTTATTTATTCGTGAGTCACCTTCTGTCACCATTTTCAAAGAACGACATAAGACCCACTTATTCTCGTCCCTTTAGTTTATTTTTTTTCTATCTCCATGCCAGCTAGCTTTTATAGCTTTAACTAGGATAGGAGGCGCCCGAATCCGAGATGGCCGAGACTCAACAGGTGCTGACTGTAGTTCAATTAGATTGAAACCTAGCCAGCGATGAGGGCGTATCCCCATACTTCGGTTTGGGTGCTGGCATGGTATTCAAATTTCACTTCTTTTTATTTTGTGGTTTTGGTTTCCGTTCCATCTTTACACTTGCCTGATAGCGCTTAGAGACTTTTTGTATTTTGCGCTCTATAAATTAATAACCATTAACAATAACCATTAACCATTAAGGTTCTTAAGACTTAATTCTGTGTTGTCTGATACAATTAAAGCATTTTTTAATCATCCACTCATTTTTTTCATTAAAAAACACAACACATAATCAAGCACACTTTAAGGTTCAAGATAGCTGTTACTGTCCATGAAAAAATAACAGAAATTCATTTGAATCCAAGCAAAAGTTAAAAAGAGGGCTCTCAACCTAATTTTTAAAATGGGCATAACGTATGTACAGTAAAAGCTTATAAATAGAAATATACAAACATATTATACTACATATTTAAGACAAATTGAAAAACAAATATTACAAGAGAGTTGGCATCAGAAAGTTGAAAAGATAAAAATGTTAAAATGGTTAGAAGAAATCATACTTCAGACTATTTAATTATAATTATTGTTTTCTTGTAGACACTTAGCAATATAAAATGTTCTTTAGTTTCGCACTTAGGCACAAATTAGGTTTTAAGAAAGTATAATACACAGTATTGAAATACACGCCATCGTATTTCAATACTTGGAGAATGTATTATACTTTCTTATCTGAGATTAATCAGTGGACCTTTCGGTAATTAGGTTTTTATCGCAACTATATGTATATGCTCTTACTTAATATTTGTTTCCTCTTTATTTGGTTAATTGGCTAAAAAAATAATGAATTTCATTTAATGCTGGATGTTATGTCAGTAACCAAGTACTTATAATGGTCTTTTGCAGCCATTAAAAAGGATCTCTTACATAATATTATGTCATACCAGTATATTGTACTTTCTAATTTCGGTTTTATGTTAAGCACATGGATACTGCAATATAATTATTTTATTACCGGTACTTATATTATAATGGCTCGTTCACCTATAGGTACATATTCAGCACATTCTAAATTGTCAGCTGGCACCTAGTTATGCACCTGTGGCTGTGCACAGCCAATCATATGATTAGGAGCAGGATGTTTAGATTTAAATAATTATAGATGGATGAATTTTCTCCTGAAAAATAATGATGATGTAAACTTGTGAGGAGACAACTTGAAAATTGTTTTCATTGTTTGTTTGAGATTTATGATTTAGTTTTATCATTTTACCTGTTCAATAATAATAGTGTATTTGTATAGCACTAGCGTCCATCAGACAAGATGCCCATGGCGCTTGATGTGTGGACTGGTAGCTTGTTCAGTGAATTTCATCGCCCCTAAGGGTCCTTTCGTATCTATGCCACCCGGTAAACCAGTACCACTACCAGCAGCTTGTCCACCACAGGCACTATGCATACCAGCACACTGGGGTATCTGCCTACTCGTCTCTCTATAGTGCACATGAGCCATTGTGTATACTGGGCCTACATTTTATTGTCCTTACCCGAGAGGACTTGTTTTACGACCAGAAACATAGGCAAGCGTGCCACTTGAACGAGCGCCGATATAATGGCTGTAGGTTATGGCATCCCTGCCTTAACCACTTGGCTAATCGACTGTTTAGGTTAACAAACAAATTTTAATGATTTTGATTTCTTTTTTGTAGGGAACTACCGTCAGATGCCATCTCCTCTGACCGATCTTCTACTGCAAGTGCTTCCCCTAGTCTACCACCGTCTATGCCGCTTCTGAGGACAACTGCACCATTAGAATCAAGTGAGGGCGGTATAACGCTTGTATCATCTAAACCATTGTTTGCATCATCTGACAGTAATTCAAATTTAAACCAATCATCTGTGTCATCATCATGGAGCCCAAATATCTCATCACCCTCAGCTAACTATTCTAAAAGTTCATTTGAAAGCTTGCCTGTATCACCTTTGACCTCTCCAAAACCTGGAAAAGGTATTTCATTTGTGGTTTGTGAATAACAGGTTGTTTTTTTTTCATTATTTTGTAATTGTCTCCGTTGGGTTCACATACCAAATTATTATAATGTGATTTTTAAAGTTTGTGATTAAATTGAAACTTTATTCTCTTTAATTACTTTTCCAGGATTTTCAAATTTGTTCTCAGTGAAGTCATCGTCCGAGGATGATTTGCTGTCGTCAATGCCGGTGAGTGAGATGGGCGGCAAAAACAGCAAAGGAAAGGGAAAATATACAATATCATCGGCTAATGAGGTAATGCATTAATTATTTCAACATTCAATATCAAGTTGCATATCAAGAACTAATGATGGGAGATGATGAGGGTGCATGTGGTAGTCGTGGTGCTTGTTAGGGTGGTGGTGGTAGTGATCAGTCTGTACTGCACATTGGGATGTAAATCAACTTCTGTATTGGCGGTAGTTTATTCATAGGGAGCTTTTGATTTGCGCGACGATGGAATTCATTCACTCATAAATTGCCGTCCTACATTCTCTGCACTTTGTAGAGTGCATCCTATAATCTACACGAGGAAAAACATTCTTCGATGTGCAGATGACTTTACAGGATGTCATTTTGTTTTGCGTCCCACCTTCATTGTGCAATTTACATTTCCCTGAAACCAGGACCCCAAGATTTAAGTACAGGTACTTTAATTACCAAACCATAACTCCTCAAATATCAAAATTTTAATATATATTCACAGCTGTTGTTTATAAAGCACTGTACATGCTATCAAATTTTATTTGACAAAAACATGTGACATGCCAAAGTAGGTTACGATGACATCACATCTTGACCATATATTATAGTCACATCATGAATATATTTGAGGGCATAGAAAATTTGATAATGTGGACAGAGCGTAATTGAATAACATATTCTTATGATTTTGAAAGGAACGAATAACATGAATCATTACCAGTGGTTTTGTTTTTTTTTCATTTACAGAATGAACCACCAAGAAAACCTCACCACATTCAAGATCGACCAATCACAGAGTGGGATACAACACATGTGTCCCAGTGGCTTCTGGGTAACGACCTTGAGGAATATATTACAGAGTTCATGGCTCACAATATTACTGGTCCAGCACTTTTACAACTGGACACGGCTAAACTAAAGGTAACGTTAATTGTATTATTATCTCAGTGAATATTTGATTGTGTAGCAGTATTATGATTTATTTTCATCATAACATAACTCAGCCAGCTAAACAGGTGGTAGCCACAGTGTGTGCGCTGAAATGTTGAGATCCTTCTTTCCGACTTTTGGTTCTGGGTCCAATTCTGTTGCAGGTCAACTTGTGTTTCAACTAGAGTGTACTAGATTGTGGTTTCGTGCAGTAGGAATGGTTTGGTTTTCAATCCCTCACTGTGCAATTCGCTTGTGTCCTTGAGCAAAGCAGTTTAATAACATTGCTTCAGGCTACACAACTATATAAATGGGGAGGTGGGGGTAGGGGCGGAAAAATTGCTGGGAGTAACCTGTGATGGATTAGTGTCCTATCTAGGGGAAGTTTCACACTCAGCCTTTCCGTGGCAAAACAACATAACTTGAAATTTTCACTTTTCGAGAATAATAGAGTTAAAGTTTGCATGTTTGCAACTTGGCAATGAATTGTTGTACCCTTCTGAAATTTTACTGTATATCTATAGACATTATGGTTATATGTAAAATTGTAATTACAACCGTTGGTTCATTGCAAAGTTATTAATGATATGTTGTACTGTACCTCGGAGACATGTCAGACACGTTATTGCCGCAAGTGCGACATATTTTTTAAATTTATCACTTCTGGGGCAATCATGCATTATCTAGCTTGTGCATATGTAATTCTTAGATTATTGATATGAAAACACCATCTTGATTTTGCTGTGCCAAACTCCACCAGATTGTAACAATTTTTGAATACCATTCAGATGTAAAACTACATATCTTCATCATAAATATGTTGTTTTGCCCCGTAATCTTGCAGTTACGTTGTTTTACCACAGAAAAAAATCACTAGATATTAAGTTTTGTGCTTAAAGTTAGGTGGTGGGATCTCCGAAATGACTCATTGTTGAGACCTGAAATTTTCACAGGTAATTCAGAATGATATTATCTCAAAACCGACAAAAATGTCTGTTGCGTTGTTTTGCCTCGGTACGGCCGCAATCCCATCCTCATCAAGTTTAGAAACTGGGGATAAGCTCCAGTCTTATGAGCCTTGATAGCTCCTGAAAAGAAGATTTCCCTTTCTCCAGAAGAGGCATTTAGGCTGTGTGAAAGTTGAAAATCACAGTATACTATATTTATATTTTTATGTTGACTTTTTTTTTTTTCCAGGCTCTTGGTGTTAATAACAATGCAGATAAGGCAACCTTTAAAAAAAAGATAAAAGAAATGAAAGCAATTATCGAGAAAGAGAGGCGATCAGCTGAAAAGGAAGCCAAAGCGAGGGAGAAGCAACTGAAAAAAGCTTCCAAGTTCAAATCAAAGTAGACGCATACAAAATTCATCACATTATTAATTCTATTGTATTTCTTTATACTTAAATTGAATTGGTCTGAGTAACATTTCAATATTTGTTCATCTGTATACTTCATATATTTTTTTTTATCCTACTTTTTTTTTAAATGAAAACCAACTGATAAATTTAATACTTAAATACTGATTCCAAGTAAATACTTGATATTCGACAGTTTTCACAATGTAAGATCATTTCTTCTAGAAATAGTATTTTTCGCAAACTTCACATTTTCTACATTTCCTATGACAAAGTTTTTTCTAAACAATAAAAAAAGACACTATTATTGTGTAACTTTTATGTGTACTCACAGTATTTGATAAATATAGGAATATTTTTAAGTGTTTCATATCCAAAGAATCATATACATTTTGTACTAAATTTCTCATAGAAGTAATACAGTCCCCTGACTATACTAGCCATCATCTAATGTAATATAAGCCTATTGAATGTTTTGGACATTTAGTATTATCTCGTATTCACATGGACCATCTTCTATCTATAAAGCTCATCTCCGAATCAAGGGACTATCTTTAAAACAGTGGACCATCTTATTTTCTTTTTAACTTTAGACCGTATCCGAATCATTTAATTATTCACCATTGGACAATTTTCACTTCGTACAGGGACCATTTTGTAACACAAGATTGTTATGGACCATGTTTAACTTTTGTAAAAAAACAGGACCAACAAATACAATGTTCATTATTTTCTTTTTAAAAAATACAACAATGAAGATTAAACGAGGTTGGCCATATTATAATGTAATTTTATATATTAGCGATAACAGAGATTAATGCATCAGTAAAATTGATGTTTATTAATTAATTAATTAGTTGATATGATTAAAGCAATGCATTCAAGCAAGCAATGGCATACTACTGAATATTTGTAAAAGGCCAGATAAGTTCATCACATTATACTTAATCTTTGAAAAAGGTACAATTTTTTATTTTTGTGGATGGTTTTTTTTTTCTTTAATATGAAATTTGTATAATAGAAAGGTGTATATATTTCCACAATTTGTTAATGTGGTCACAAAGGCATTTTTCAAATAATCCATCATCGTTTTCTTTCATTTACATCTGAGTTAATTTGCCTGTAAACTGAAAGCGCTGCTTAGGGAATAGAGTCTGCTTTCAGGTAATTTGAGTTTCTAGGCTATGGAATTTGTACAGATTCATCTTGTTCAAAAGGATGTATATATTATTGTAGTTTCTGTACACATTTTTGATTAATAATCATGGTATATGTACTATAGATTTGTTATCCTTATAAAGGGTCTTTAGATACGACACAAATTTTGTATTAACGAAATAGAAAAAAAAAATGTTTCTTGTCTCTCCCTCGTCCTTTTGTTGAGAGCCATCTTTTTTTCTTTTTTTTTCACTAGGTAAGACACTCGGAAAATTCTTCATAAATCTAACCATCAGCAATGAGTGTACATGTGTTTTCAGGCCTAGCATAGACCTAGATGTTTGAGTATTGTCCACCTTTGTGTTGAGGGGAAAAAATTAGCCCTTTTCATTTGTTTTTTGCAGACAAGAAACATTTTTTTGGTCTTGTATTAATGATTCAACCACACTTGTAGTTTTTGGGCCAAAAACATAATTGGGTTTCAAACTTTATTGGTGGATTTGCTTTTGAAAAAAATAATATATAAAGGGAATTAATAGTGATAAATTATTGAAAAGTATAGTAAATGAATTTTGTTCTGTATTTGTTGAGTGGTTTCTATGATGATGAAGCAATCACTGTGTATTTATTCAATCGATGGTTGTTTGATGAGGAATTTTAGATTGTTAGCGTATTGTGAGTGAGACGAATGAAAGAAATTGTTTTACTAGAAAACCCAAGAAAATATTTACACTAATTGAATACCAAATACACTCGGGGAAGCATATATAAATGGAATGGATTTATATAATTTGTTTATGAAATTTAATTTCAGCGACCATAACATGTATATTTATCACCTTGATGTCATCTTGTACTTACTGCCATGTGGCAACTGGTATTTTGATTTCTTTGACACAGGTAAGGGCTATTACAGTAGATTTTAGTTGTTTATCCAATTTTGGACCAATTTTTGTTCTTGTTATCTAAGTAAACATTTTAGAGAAGTTATAGATTCATCATTTGTCATGATTTCTCCAATTTCAGTGTAATGTTGTAAAAATTAATTCAATCCTACTACTTACTCAGAAAGGCATTGTTTGTAAAATGTTTATAAAGCTTCTTTTCTGTTAATGATTTTTGGAAAACTAATACAAGTAGGAGCTGCCATCTGGTATTGTAAAATTATGCCAAGATTTGAAACTAAAATCATATCATTTTGTACTTGTTTATTTGTAGTGTATTTTTTGTTACCAATTAATTTTTACCATTTATATCGAAAGAAAAATGAGTGCCATATTAATTAATATACGTTACTACTTAAAATGTATCGTATTTTGTTTTATGTTTTTTTAGATAATTTTTGCAGATTTAAAAACACGAGATATTTTTGTCTTAGCCAAATAACGATTTTAAAAGGTTCACATATACTTTGTTTCAAATTAAAACACATGCCAATTTGTGTTCTCAAGTACCGCATTGTATTAGAGATTATAAGATATGCATAATATATGAAGTTTTTTTCGGAAACAGCAAGCACTGTATTTCTTTTTTGATTAAAATTAGGAAAAGTTGCCCTACAATATTCTACTTACTGTAAAGCTTATACTGTACTTTCGTTGGTAAATGCAAACTTGGTATTATAAAGTACTAGAGTTAATAAATTGGAAATTTGTGTAATTTGTAGTCATTAGTCGGGATCCCAATGCTTTCCTTCAGTCCAGCTTGGTTTCTTCCTCTGGTCTTGAAGTCCAGGTTACTTTTCAAACCAGTTTGGATCTCTGAATACTGTCCAGCGTGATCGTTACATGCGTCCTATCTGGTTAACAGTAGTGCAGCTTTGGTCGTCACTTTTGTATTACAATATTTTTCATCCATTCCATTGGGTATTAAGACCTCAATGAACTGAAATTAGGTATAACAATATATGATCAAATAAAGTGATATAGCTACGAGGGAAAAAGGACATTTTTGTCAGTTCTTTACATTGTCATGTTTTTACACCAAATATTCCAAAGTGGTTTTTTGTGCCTTGATTTCTGATATCAATGGCCAAATGATTGCCAATGATATCATTGGCCAAATGATTGCCAATGATATCATTGGCCAAATTTCAGTAGCCAAAAAAAGCCAGCTCCAAAAATCATAGTATTTAATAAACAGATGGCAGAGGTCTGTCATGGATATCTACTGGCCTGAGAGGTCATCAGGAATGAAGAATTGTGGGGAGAGCCGGGCAGGACATAGGCCTAGCTATCAGTGGCCAACCAAATCGACACTTGGTCAATGGTCCTATAAAATTATACTTACTGGTCACATTATTTATAATGATGAAACAATCGGTTCAGTGGTCAAATAGATTTGTGGCCAACCCCAGTGGTCAGTAGGTTTGCGGTCAGTTTGGTCACATTCCAATCCCACCGTCATGGGTTCAATCCTGTATTTCTCAAGGTTCGCTTGTTCACCTTAGTGCTCAACACTCCACTCCATTGTCTTTACATCGACCATTCCGCTAAGCGCCGCCGCGTCCCCTCCCCCTCGGATATTTCTGGTAAAATGTTACAAATCGTAAACGTTTGTGAGACATGCGCATATTCCTGACTATTAAATAACACATTGTAATTGGTTGGTTTAAGTTCGAGAATGTCCGTCCATTTTATTTAATATTTGGCGAGTGAAAGAAACAATAAAATACTAAATTCTAATCAAAGTAATAATTTTACGTTGTCTCATGACATTTTTGCTTAATTATCGATACAACACATCAGTATTTAAATGTTTTACAAAAAGCTTCGTCTTACAAAAATATTTATTTTTGGCGGACTCACCCAGATACAATGATGATTTTTCCCATCAAAAAAAAAAAGCTTGTCGGTATTCAATTTTTCAAAAAAAAAAAAAAACGGTTAAACTTTTGTTCTGACTTAACAGAAGAGAAATATTTTGTGTTGAGAATAGAAGCTTAAACCTTGGTTTTACTGATTCCTCCTAATAATAAATTATCGTCAATTTATATAAGGACTACACAGTACTGTTAAAATATAAATAGTGATTTTAGTGAAGATGTGTATACATGCTCCTTATTGAATACCGATTGTGTTAGTGGGACATTCAAACTTAAACATTTAAATAATGATGATGATTATTGATGACTATACACATCAAAATAATACACAACATAAGAGGATGTTTTCTGTATACAGTGCTCCATTGAATAGGCCTACACTAATAGTTTAGAACGATGTTGTTAGTAATATTGTAATGGAGACTGGGTATTAGAACAAGCTCAGAACTTGATGTGTGAATACCCAAAAATGTTTTATCAAAATCAATAACAGCATACAGTAACTGTAAATCTATTCTAAAGCACTTGGAATAAAAAGCTCTTACATTTACTATATCATTTCTTCATTTCCCTCTAAATACTGAGTGATATTAAGAAATTATATAGTAAATCATTTCTTAATATTTCTTAATTTCCCTCTAAGTAGTAAGTGATATGTAAGACCACTCAGTGCCGGTCTTTAATTAGAGGGATTGTAATTAGAGACCAAAGCTGCTAAAGACCACCAAAACCCCGGTCCCGAAAGTGGTCTTTAAATGGAGGGAGACCTGTACTAATAGATGTACAGTAATACATTAAATGTAAAGAAATCAAAAACAAAAACAGTCAAGTATCAAATGTCATTCATCAATATATATGTACATACGCATATGGTACGTTCCACACATCTGGTGTAGGTCATATATACGCCTATAAATCGCATAACATGTAATTATTGAATAGATAGGCTTAGTAATGAAAAAAATTACTAATCTCGGAAGCAGGAAAACAAAAGTGGTTAAAAAATTGATAATCGTTAATAGTATTTACTAAGGAAAAATTGTGTGAGGTTTTGTTTAAATTTGTTTTTGTTTGACCAGATTTAATATCAAGATTGAGCGAATTCCAAAGCTATGGATTGCGCTGAGGCTTGTATAAATGTACGTTTCTTTTTTATAGGGCACAGTTCACAGTAGGTTCATAAGACGTGAGTTTAATTTATTTACAACATTAAACATAATGATGCCAAGCTGATAAATCGTTATGTCCTCCGCTTTAAGCAGTCTATGGTCACGAAACAAGTGTGACAAAATCAGTTGATCACCCATCTTTTTTTTTTCATGTAATTGCTCGCATCGCCTTTTCTGTAGAATAATAATGTCGGTAATATGAGGGATAAGTAGGCCTATTGCACCATATTACATTGCAATAGTTCAATATGGAATCAACTAAGGATTTGTCCATTTGGAGGAGTAACTCAAAAGGTTGAAAATGCCTAAGCTTATAGAACAGCCCAACATATTTCGTTTTGAATTCTCATTTCAAGCTAATTGTTTAAAATTCTTCAGTATTGTATTTGTTTGCATTATTGCTTACTTTAGGCCATGGCCTTCTTTTTGTAACTTGTCATTGTAGCGTTTATTATTATTGTAACGGGACCCCTTCGGAAACAAGCAGAAATGCTTAACGTGTTATCCTGGAATTGTCTAATTGTTTTGGTTTTTTTTAAACTCTTTTAATTTTGTACTCACTTGTGAGAATTTCGAAATACATCAAATCAAACGCTCATGTTACTTAATTCTGCTTAAATGTGATATTTTCGTCAATGTGTACTCCAAAAAAAAATTGTGGTCGTAACACTATTTATTATTTCACCATTCAATTTCTTAAAACATTAGGTCAAAAAAGCTAGAAAGCTGAGACATAAAACGAGACTTCTTTAGCCATTATTACGGAATGTAGTATCCATAGAGTAGTTCACGCCTATGCCCTTTCGCGTGGCGGTCCGCAGGGCTACCAACCCTTATTGGCACTTACGGTCCCCTACCCATAGGATCCTCGCTATATAGCACCCTCTTCCAAAAGAGCTTTGTTGATACATAACAGCATAATATGTCTCTGACATGGACTGTATGATTATAATCCAAGGGGGATGGGGTACCCAGTCGGCCAGGACTCCACACCCCCACCTACATTTGTAAAAGTTTATACTTATTCAAATTTTAAGTCACATCGAGTGCCATTCTAGGGTCTAGAGGTGCTTTAATCATCCTTTGCAACTCCAAGTATACAGGATTATGTCATTGATTAGACCTTTGGGACGCCCGTAAGAGGAGGGGTACCAAAGGGAGAGGAACATAGCTCCCGTCGGGAAGAAAATAAATTTGTCGTGGAGGAATGCTGCTTTGAGAAAGCATTTTTACCATCTGAAAGTGTAGCGTTTATTATTATTGTAACGGGACCCCTTAGGAAACAAGCAGAAATGCTTAACGTGTTATCCTGGAATTGTCTAATTGTTTTGTTTGTTTTTTTTAAACTCTTTTAATTTTGTACTCACTTGTGAGAATTTCGAAATACATCAAATCAAACGTTCATGTTACTTAATTCTGCTTAAATGTGATATTTTCGTCAATGTGTACTCCAAAAAAAAATTTGTGGTCGTAACCCTATTTATTATTTCACCATTCAATTTTATTTCCAGGTTATCTTGGTTCATTTTTAATTGTTTTTTCAGTGCCAGTTATTATTATTACATAAAAACCAGTTACTGAATCTTATTACTTCATTATTTACTTGCTGAATTAAAAATGTAAGATTATTGTGAGAATGAATTAAATTTGTGTCGTCAGCAAGTAGGAAGAAGTTTATAATGGTTGAACAGTTAAAAATGTCATTAATAAAGATTAAAAAGAGAAGAGGACCTAGTATTGCACCCTGAGACACCCAATAATTTATGATTTTTGTATCGGACTTGCAATTATTTAATATAGTATACTGTTCCTTCCGTGAAGATAGCTTTTGAACCTCTTAAATGACGTTCCTTTAATACCATAATGATGAAGCTTAGAAAAAAGAATCGAGTGGTCAAATGCCTTGGAGGTCTATAATATTCAAATTGAAAACTCGCCCTTATCAATAGCGACGTGTATTTTTTCAACCATATCAATGACGGCCATAGGCCTATATGTAGATCTTTTTTTTAAAACCCTTATTAATAACTTGAAATTTAGTAAAATGACTGTACAATACCAAGCTCAAGAGACAAGTTAAAAATAAAGGAGGTGGGAGTTCAACCAGGTGAGAGTTCAACCAACAACAAGAAAAAAACAAAAAAACAAGTTAGGATTACAGCTCTTGCGTCGTGAGAAATAAATGTACAGGTAATTATAATGCAAAGGTAAGGATATTCAGAATTATAATTTAGCAAGCTGTATATTTCGATTCAGCTACTCATCTGATATGGTAGTGGTAATGGCTGTATATTTACTAAGCGCATATTACAATAGTCTCTATGCGCTTGAAATGCAAGGTCTTGGAAGCAGAAAAATAAAAACCGAGAAATATCCTAAGTCATAAATATGGTAATTTACCAAAAGCGTCGAATTTTCTCAAGTCAATAGGCCTACACTACTTTATACTCTCGAACAGTTATGCCAATTTATATTGTTTATGTAGACGATTGATCGGGTAATATAGGTTGTTTATAGTCAAAATCCAGCAATCTTTCAAATGCGCAAACGTTGTACGGGTATGGTCCAAGTGTTGCGCCAAAAAACCCCTCAAGATCTGGTTGGGGTTCATTATCCGGATACCTTAATTTAAATCTGTGCAGCAAGTGAGTGAAATATGTAAACAGTTCCATCACAGCCAACTGTTCCCCGACACAATTTCTGCGTCCTGAAAAAACAAAACAGGATTATTATTAGGTCTAGACTATCATCGTCGTCGACATCGTCTATCGTCATCGTCATCATCATCATCATCATCATCATTTTTTTATATTATATTCCTTTTCCAATTAAATACTGGTCTTCACCTAATTAAATGTCCCTCCAATTATAGACGACCTCAAAAATTAAAGACCATTTTTCTGTGGTCCCAAATTAACAAATGTCTTTTATCTTTATTATGCTAATTAGAGACCAAAGCTACTAAAGACCATGGAAACCCAGTCCCAGAAGTGGTCTCTAATTGGAAGGAGACCTGTACTAACGCTAATTATAATACATTGATACAGTAACCATTGATTTAGCTCGGTGGTTACTATTCTTTCAATTAAACAAAAAATAAATTCACGAGGAGATGAAATATGACTGTAAAGAACGTCGTTTTCGGCATCATTGATACATCATCAACAGTAGTAACATCAGCATTATCACCAGAAGCATCATAGGAATCTCCATCAACATCAGATCAGTAGCAATATCTGCATCTGATCATTACAACATCATCAGCAATCAGCAACATCATTATGAGCATCAAGCATCGTCAGCAACTGTAGCAACAGGAACAGCAACAATTGCAGCAATAGTCTTTATTTATTAACATAATATATTCATAAATAATAATCACAACCGCCCTCATCAAACATAAAAACATCACTGTAAAATCGTAATCGTCCTTCATCATTACCACCATTGCCACAACATCGTCATCATCATTGTCGTCGTTGTCATCATGTCTGTCGTCAATGTCATCTTCACCACCATGACGGACGCATAACAAGCGTCAACAACCGGATTTGCCAGCATTTTGCCGGAATAAGTTGCTTCTGACCTAAAATATAAAAATCTTTAAATTTCAAAATACAGGCATTTAAATTTTATCAAGTAGGCGTATTTTCTTTAAATATCAATAATGCCGGAGCTTACCGTGGAAGAGTGACTCAATTCGATTAATGCTACACTTAAAAAAAGAAAAAAACTATTGAAAATAAATATTTTATTATGAGAAAACTGGCCAAGATCAGAAGTTGATGTATGTTCTTGGCTCTTTTTCACTAAATCTTCCAAAAGAAATTGAAGAAAAATTTGACAAATTTTGTAAAAGGTATGCTACAAGGGCATGGAAAAAGAGAAATGAGATAAAAAAGGAAAACGAACGTTTTTGATTTTAGTCCTGTATTACTTTATGACTTTTGATTTACTTTTATATGCTTCTGTGTTATCTGGCCTGATATGTGTGCTTCTTGTGTGATAAGTGGTGTAGTATAGAGTTCAGTATGTACTGTATGTCTTTATGTTTATAATTGTGAGCACGGTACAGTCATGTGACTGGGTATACAGTTGTGATTGGATATATATGTACTTATGTACTGTGTGTGTATTTCATGTACGTTTGTATAGTGTTTGTATAATTGTTCATGTGATTG